AAAAAGAACTGACCAAAGGTTGTTTTATTTTTAGCAATTTTTCCTACATTATTTACATAAAATCAATAATACTTTGTAATGTAAATCATCTTAAATGTACAATACTTAAAGTATTTTTATTTAATTCGATTTTTTGTCAATCAATCAATAATAATACACTAAAGGCAAATCTTAAATGACAATTATGGATATCATTCTATGGCACAAAAAAAAAAATAAAATAAAATAAAATTGTAGAGCTATAGCACATGGAAGCATGCATGTTGGTTGGGACGAGCTTGTATAAGTAGAAAGAACGCGAACAACAATTTTTAATGTGCACCCTGATGTATAATCTAAATTGCAAAAACTAGCACATTATTCTCAGGAACTTTATTGGATTGGCTTTGTAAGAACAATAATAAGCAAACACAATTATTTTCATTCTGTAAGTGAGTATTAGGTAGACTAATTTGTTTATTTGAAATATGGTCGATCCTTTTCATCAATTTTCACTAGCTTTTTGATAATTTATGATATTCTGTTTGTCAATAACGTATAATGTTTACAAATATAATAATTCACACGTGAATACATGCATGGTGATTTGAAAATAATGGAGTTATTGCGTTAAAAAAAAGGTGAGGGATGATGACTAATAATACAAGAGTCTATTGTGCTATTTAATTGGCTAATAGTAGCAATGATTGATTTTAATGCTTGTACATAATCTTACTACAAATTAAAGAAAAATGATCAGGTGACGAGACTTAATTCCTACTGCATACCTACCTTCAAGAATTTAACCTACTAATAAGATAATCCGTAATTGACATCCTCAATATCGTTGTTACATTATTGTAGAATTGAAGATAAATACAATAGGAACTTAATTTAATTATAAGTGGAATTAAAGAAATTTCAGGAAACAATTTCCTAAACCTTATCTCTCCCTCTCTCAATTTTATATATTAATCGATCCCATAATCTCCTACAATCAGGAGAAAATCTCTAACTATTTGAGATATCCTTTACTCTCAAGGCCAGAGTAGTTTTGCTCAAGATATTAATACAAAGCACAGGGTGAAATCCAACTAAGCCTAATATTACCCTAAAACACCCTATATTACTATATATGACGGACAATAGTATGTCTTTAATGGGCTTGATGAATGTTTAATTCAACTTTATGTTCATACTAGGTTAAGTCTCATGCCATGCACGATCATAATTAAATTTTACAACAAATATATTATAAATAATAGTGTAAATTCAACATTATTTTATCTAAAAATATTATTTGTAACAAAATAACTTGATTTTAGTTCATACCAATACCAAATACTGAAATAAGTAAAGGTTATTGAATTGGATTATATTAAAAAAAATATAATAATAGAAATTTAGAATCTATAAGGTTTTATGTAATAAAATTAAAATATTAGCTTAGATTTGTACTCATATGCGAATTAATATACATCTATCCTTAAATTATTAATACATTTTCACAGAAATATGAAAATTTATTTGATTTTATTTTACTTTAGAATAATCAATATTTCGTAATCAACTTTTTAAATATATTTTTAGTGAGTAATAGGAGTTTTATTTTTATTTTTTAAAATCATATAAATATTAGAGTAATTAGATTAAATTTTCCAATATATGTTATGTATTATATAATTGAATGATTTTGTTCTTATAAATGTTATATAATTTTAAGATTTATATAATGTATGCTACCAAATGATATTTTTTTAATTAAAATAAATTTTATTGTCAAATGATGAAAGTTGGAGAAAAAAAATAATATTGACAATATTATAATAATATTGGAAAATAATATGTTACAATACCTTATTTTTAATCTATCTTAGTATTGATGTAACTAAAAGTTTCCTAGTCTATAAAATATATGTACAAAAAATTGAGTATAATGGGATTAAATATGTTGTTAAATTGAAAATAACTATTATTGTAGGTTATTAAATGAATGTCATTAAAATATCGCAAAAAAAAAAATAAAAGGAAAGAAAAAAAGGCGGGAAATTTTTTAACCAGAAAATGACATGATCCAGGTTTCGCCTTTAGTATAGGTTTATAGATGTGTAACTTATAGGATCCAATTAATATACATGACCCTTTAACAAAACACCAGGCCATGACCCCATATATAACCAAATTAATAATCTCTTAATTAATTTTATATTTACACTTCGTATTTAGTAATTGCTCAACTTGATCGAAAAACATTTACTCCTAGTCTCCTAAATTACTTTCACCGGCCTAACTAGTTGGTTGCTTTATTACATGTGTTGAGTCATATTGAAGGTAATTATAAATAATTACGAAGTAATTAATAATTGGAATTAATTATTGAGTATCAGGTTAGGTTTAGCACCTTAATAATTGTATGTATCTATCTCTGTGGAAGACACCTCTATAGTGAAGGCAGTGGAATCCTTGTCGAGGGGATGGAGTAGGATTTACTTAATCATTTGTTGATTTCATGGCTCACCACTTTTATTAAATTATATCTTTCAAGTTTCAAAATAGGCTATATCTTTAAATTTAATTTTAATTAGAGCAGTTGAGCGAATAAATATGAGTGCAACTAGACACATAATTGCTATTTGTTTGGGATGTATGTAGGAGCATTAATTGGTAAATTCACTTAATTTTTGTGATTTGTTTTTATTGTTAATATATACTATTTATACTTACTGTTGTATTTTGAATGTACTATTATACATGTATTTTATATTACTAGAGTATAAATTGTTTTAGTAGTATTACTATTCATAACCATTATAGGTAATAGTGGTACAATATTTGTACCACTAGAAAAAAAAATCACCACTCTTTTGTCTTACAGCTGCTATTTACTTAAATAGCAACTATGCGTCAATAATTCTTAACCAATAAATTTTACCAAAAAATAAAGATTGCATAATAGTACTCCTTTTGGCCTTTCTTGTTCTATGACAAGGTATTGCGATCAGCTCGGACTGACAAAATGCGGATTTTGATATCCTCAATTAGTTGGATGATATCCTCTAATGGTTGAATGATATCATCCGGCCATGATATATATATATATATATATATATATATATATATATATATATATATATATATATATATATATATATATATATATATATATATATATATATATATATATATATATATATATATATATATATATATAGCCCATAGAGGATATCATCATCCAGCCATGATATATAGCCATTATAGGATAGAAATATCATCCAACCAATAAAGGAAATTTATATAGCCAATAGAGGATATCATCCATCCAATAGAGGATATGATCCAGCTAATTGAGGATATCAAAATCCGCATTTCGTCAGTCCAGACTGACGCAATAGTTTGTGTAATCCTATATGGCCAATATGGGTGTTTCATTGTGATTGTTTAAATGTCACTTATGTCTATGTCGTCAACTTGGCCTAGACTATTTACAATCTCATATGCATAATTTTATCACACTTTTTAACAAAGTAAGCTAAAGTAAATTTAGTTCTATGGAGCCATAAAAGGAGTAGAGGAAGTATACATTTGGAAATACTACTTCATCTGTTATTGTAACAGTTGTAAGGCAGTACACATTCTTTTCACGATATTTAAGAAAAGTGGGTCTCACATAGATTAATACAATTTAAGGGGCCGTTTGGTTGGATAATTTGGAATGGGTTAGAATAGAGTTAGAATTCATTCCATCTAATTTTTTTTTATTAGTTGAAGTTTTGAGTAATGGAATCTCATATCCAAGGGGATCTAACTCTCCCCATACATATGAAATCTCATACCTCACCTTTTCCCTATGATTAACAATAATCCATTCTATTGATGAAGTATATAATTCATTCCAACAATACAATCAAACAACTTTGGACTAGTATGGGTATTCATCCGTACCAGTCTGGTACCCCCTCCGTGTTTTAATAATAAGTGTTATAGTTTGATCAAATACTTATGCCGAGACACGACTTTGACCATTAATTTATCTAATCATATGTTAATAAAATTTTAGAAAATTTGATATTATGAAAGTATATATTTGTACGAATTCAACAATAATGTATTATACAATAACATTTGTTTTTTTTTTTTTTATATATTAGTATATTAATCAAGTCAAAACCATTATATGAATAGTGGAAAGAGTCAAACTGTAACACTTATTAAACACGGAGGGAGTAAGAGATTTCATACCAATTTATTTGATGAATCATATCAAACACCCCCAAACGAGGTTAAAATAGCATTAGGAGTATAATAAGTGGGTAATAAATTAAATAATGAAAATAGTTTAACTTTTACCAAAAAGTTTATTTTTTCATTTATAGTATGTTGCATGTGACAATTTCATTTTAGGAAAATGTTATTTTATACTTGATATACTCTCCTAGTTTCCTTAACCAGTGAGCTTAAATTAGTATTAGATGAATACAATAGTATTTTTTTTTATTTTTTTTTTATAGAGTAAGAAGAAGGAGGCTCATTTAAGGGGGGGAGATAAGGGAAATCCCTAAAATGAGTCCCATGAGACTTGATCCCTAGATCTCAGGGATACTACGATGTGGGAGCGATGCTTCTACTCTATCACCTCAATCACGAATACAATAGTATGGAGTAATGCCTGAGTATAATGACATCGATGTGCCACGTAGTCCCTATTTTGTTGCGCCACGTCAAACCCTCAACCTCCTATAACACATAGGACTATTTAACCATCTAAGCCAATATCTACTATGGAATTTGTATGGAAAAATTTATATAAGTGCAAACCACAAGGTTCAACTTAAAATAAATTAAAAAAAAATATATATCCAAATAATAACTCAATTTTGATTTGACAATGACAATTGCAGTTTTGAAAAGCCTTTTAAAAAATTATCGATTGTACGTCTACAACAGTAACAACCCAGGGCAACGCTCGGGTCACTCACTAGTTAACTTTTTATACATGTTTTTTTTTTTTTTTTTTTTTTTTTTTTTTTTTTTTTAAGTAGTTAAAGAGATTGATGTTTAAATATGAGCATGGAAAGTATGCATACAGACAAATTAGTCAAATAAAAATAAACATGAAGAGTTATAAAACAAAAGGAATAATATTGGAATTCATCTATTATTTTTTTATGTTAGACATGAAACATGTCCTAGTTGTTTGTCAAGTTTAATCGATTTGTATTATTGGATTCAATTGGTAGAGCAAGTTGTTAGTTTATTTTTCTTTCCCAACAAACCAACTCCTAGTAGTATAGAATTGAACACCATTTATATCTCATGTCATCAAAATTATGTTACAAAAACACACAATTATTAGTGTACATAGTGTACCACTAATAACAAGAGAGAAAATACAGTCACTTAGTTAAGAGCTTAAGGCAAAAAAAAAAAGCTAGCCATTATAATTCTAACTAAAGAAATAAAAAAAAAAAAAAAAAAAAAAATGCATGAACAACTATTTCTAGTATTGAAATCAACGTTGTTGGTTATAACACTATCCATTTTAATACTAGGCATCATTTCAAGGGTAAGGCGAAAGCCATACCCACCAGGCCCGACGGGCTTGCCTATCATCGGCAACATTACGGTAATGGGCCAGCTGACCCACCGTGGGCTAGCTAAGATGGCGGAACGTTACGGCGGGCTGTTCCACCTAAAGATTGGCATGGTACACATGATGGTCGTCTCCAGCCCGGATGAGGCCCGAGAAGTTCTACAAGTCCAAGACAGTGTCTTCTCCAACCGGCCCGCTAGCATTGCCATCAGCTACCTCACCTATGAAAGGGCTGACATGGTTTTCGCGCACTACAGCCCTTTTTGGCGTAAGATGCGCAAGGTATGCGTCATGCACCTCTTTAGCCGGAAACGGGCCGAGTCATGGCAATCTGTCCGCGATGAGGTGGACAACATCATCCGGGCCATTTCAGGCCGGGCCGGGTGTCCCGTTAATATCGTGGATCATGTGTTTAATCTTACTAAGAATGTTATATACCGGGCCGCCTTCGGGTCAAAATTCTCCGCGGGCCAGGATGAGTTCATAGCCATCCTGCAGGAGTTTTCCGAGCTTTTTGGAGCGTTTAATATAGCGGATTTTATCAAGATTCTCACTTGGGTTGACCCGAACGGGCTTAACAAACGGCTAGTTAAGGCCCGGACCGCATTGGACCGGTTCATTGATCCGATTATTGATGATCATGCCAAGAAAAAGGCAACTAATAATGAACATGTAAAACAAGACAATAAAGTTGAAGAAGATCTTGATGTGGTGGATGAGTTGTTGAACTTTTATAGTGAGGATGCCAAAGTTAATAAGCAAGAAGATTCAAATAACCCTATCAAACTTACTAAGGAAAACATCAAAGGTATTATCATGGTAAGCAATTTAAGCACACATTTGTTACGTAATACAAGTAATATAGATTGTCTTAATATTTTGTAGGTAGAAAAAATAACAAAAATTCACATGTCATTATTTTTACAGGATAATATTTGCTTTTAATAAATTAAAAATTGATATAATCATCCTTCATAAAAGAAAAATAAAATAAAAATAAAAAAAATTTAATATAGTCAAAGTAAGTTAAGAACAGTGTAAAAAGTCAAATTGTGTCATTTATTCTGAAACGAATGGAAAAAACTTAACCCTGTTTTAGACTTAGTAATGCAGAAGAGTAGTGGTACAAAGGACAATAAGCTGCTCTTAAAAAAGGTTGTGACGAGGGTTGTATGGTTGACTTAGAAATGTTGAACACTTGATTACTAATAATGCTAATATCATGTAGCAAAATATTTGTGGGCATATAGTCAATAACTCAGATATAGATACATTATCAAATATCATTTATAACTAATAGAAGTGTAAATTTACTATAATTATACAGGATTTGATGTTTGGAGGAACAGAAACAATAACATGGGCGGTAGAATGGGTAATGACAGAATTATTACGTAACCCCAAATACATGAAACGGGTCCAACAAGAGCTTGTTGACGTAGTTGGTTTAACTCGACGGGTCAACGAATCAGATCTTGATAAGCTCCCATTTTTTCGATGTTGCATAAAAGAGACCCTACGTATGCACCTACCAATCCCGCTCTTGCTCCACGAGACTGCTAAGGATGCGGTCATAGGAAAATACTACATCCCTAAACAATCACGAGTCGTGATCAACACATGGGCTATTGGAAGAGATCCGAACTCATGGTCTAATCCAGACACGTTCAAACCCGAAAGGTTCCTTGAAGAGGGTGCACCCGATTTTAAAGGGGCTAATTTTGAGTTTACACCTTTCGGATCAGGCAGACAGTCTTGCCCGGGTATGGGGCTAGCGTTATACACGCTTGAGTTGTGCGCAGCAAACTTACTCCATTGTTTTACGTGGGAGTTGCCTGATGGGATGAAGCCGAGTGAACTAAATATGGATGAAACTTTTGGACTCACTGTCTCAAAGGTGACTCGACTCATTGCGGTGCCTAGTCCCCGCCTGTTGTACACGCTCAGCTGAATAAACCACGAAGCCAAAGCTGCAGGATTGGTGATTGCAACGACGAAGGTAGGTGATATCAAATTTATCCGCCTCTCTTTCAAGTGAAATATTTCGCGCTGAGTATGAAGAGACCATACTGCATCCACAATATATAATTTTGTGCACTATATAATAAAATTTCACTGCAGTTTGTTTCACCACATTGGCACATTCATGCCTACTCTTAATTTTCAATATATATGCTTTGAATATACGTAGATACACCGACTAAAATCATGAATTTTTTACATACTATGAATGTCTTTCATGTAGGAATTTCCATGCATAGTTCTCCATAATCAGAAGAACAAAAATAATGAGAATTCCAAGTACAATTGTTGGTTCATTGCACAATTAAATTTTCATGGTGTTACTGAATTCAATGATTTGTATCTGTTTTTTCTTATTTTGTTGAAAGAATGGTGTTGAAGATCTTATCTTATAAATAGCTTCTGCATCATTATAAGATGGTGTCATCAGGGACGATTGCGTTCCTAGTTACGATCACTATCCCTTCACGGATAACTATCCCTTCATCTTCTCTGCTTCCCTCCTGAATATTATCATTGTTTATAATCTGCAAAAATTCAAGTAAAACTTAGTTCATGATCACTTATTAAACTAACTGTTGATGTTAACACAGAGATTTTCAGGGCTAATAAGTTGATATGTAAAAACTTCAGCTTCTTTTACCATGACTCTTTTGCCAATTCTTGCATTCTTGTCTATTATAGCTTTCTGTATGAATGATCCTTGCCCAATTCCAGTCGGAATTGTCGATGATGTCTTTGTTTCCATGTTCTGCAGAAAATTTTCCTGTTTGTTTGCAGAATAAGTTGAAGGTATTCAATTAACGTATAAAGAGAACTAATAATAACTCTCCTTTTTCATGTAAGATTCTACCAGATTCGGTTATAGTGCTAGTAGTGAACTAATGATATTGTGTATAGCCTTTCAAATTCACAGATAATTTTGATGTTGACAGAAAAGTAAAGGATTGGGAGACACTATATACTTTACTTTGTACCAATAATATACAAAAATTCACAGATTAGCCGAGTTTGACACATGAAGACATACCCGTGCTTGACAGATAGAACTCGAGTTCAAGACGTGCAAATCATTTTCACATTAGACATAGAAGGGGCAGTTAATAATATAACTATTAGTCTTACTTGGTAATTATCAGATCCCATTATAATTGAATCTTCTATCACTGCTGCATCATCAATTTTTGTTCCAAGACCTATCACTGAGCCTTGGATTCTGCACCTCTGCTCTTGAAAGAATGTAAAATAGGGGTGACCACCAACAAGAAATGATCCAACTTTAAATCTTCAATAAATTTTATCATAATTCAATAAGTAAATGGAAAACCTTTTTATACAAAGTCGTGATGATTTAGGTGCCTTTTTTATAAATAGTGTTTGTAAACCTCAGAATTGTGCTTATTCAGATGAGAAATAGAACTAGTTAATATGACTATTCTTACATTGAGAAGACAACCATCTCCTATGGCACTGTCAGTAATTACAGCATCGGTTACTCTTGTTGGAGGGAGACGCCGAGGCAAAGTATAGAGAGGAAACTCGCTATCACAGAAGCTGTGACCAAAAGGGTTAAATTTGTATTAAACATAAGAAGCCTTATAATATCAATGACTTTAAGTAGACGTACAGTTACAGTTTAATTTACTCCCTCGGTCCCTTGAAGAAATATATATTGACAAAAAAGGGGGAAGAATGCAACCATTTTATCTCCAGGGACATCTAAACAAGGTAGTATACTTCTTTTAAGGGGAGAGTGAGTATCTATTAAATTAAGTGACTTTACTAACTCGAATCTTAAGTCTGTTGTCTTTGTGCTTTCCAGGTTGGCTTCATAGAACCCCTTTATACTTTGCATGTTTTCCCAATATCCATCAAATAGATATGCTTGAACCTGGCTTTGGCCAAAAGAACAAAAGCAAAACTTTTCAGCAAACTGTAAATCTAGATTTTAGACATCTTTTTCGACATATAAAATGCATTTCGAAAGATTGAAACTAGAAGTAATCAGAATTAGTCGCCTAGATACAGAACTAGATGTTCGTGTAGATGTATTCAAGTGAAAACAATGAAACCATACAAAAATAAAACTATGTAATGACTTTTGCTTAAAGAATTAATATGCTTACAGTGAGAAAACACTTTAACAGAGAATGTAGTATGATGTATTTTCCTTTGAGTAAACAATGAATATATTCCTCAAACTTTATATGAAAATTAGCTATACTGGTTTAAGAGTTCAATAATAATGTGACCATGATTTGTGCATGTATCATATGATGTTTATACATAACACAATATCTTCCCTTTGAATGATTTAGTTTGATTTTATCAATAAAGCAATATTTCTCATACCTTCATTCCTAATGATATAGCACCAGGAATCACTTCACTCTTGAAGTCATTTGCCCATGAAAGGTCTTCTTTGAGAATGTTTACCATCACATCTTTGCTAATGACGTAGATGCCCATGCTTGCATAAGTAGTGTGCTTGTTATCTTCGGAATTTTTGACACTTCCAACCTGATTGATTGTGTTTCAAGAAAATTTAGTCCGAAAAAAAATTATAGCTTCTTCGTGATGAAATTATAACAGTCCAAGCAACTCACCAAAGGAAACGCAGTCTCATTTTCAAATATTTCAAGTACTTTATTATCTGAATCTACTTTCAAAATACCAAAACCTTTGTCATGCCTTTCCTCTAATCTTAGAGCTGAAATAGTTATATCAGCTCTAGTTTCGTGGTGGAGCTGCAGAATGTCCTGGTAATCCATTCTATAAAGATGATAGCCAGGGAGGATAAGAAACTCCGTGGCAGGGCACTCTTCTAGCATCCACAAAAATCTCCTAACAGCATCAGCATTCCCCTGCCATTTACAAATAAGAAAACTAAGTACTACGTATATCACATGGAAGGACTATAAGAACCCGAAAAAACCATAAACATGTTTATAGACTCTTCATTTCTCCTTAGGTGCTGTGTTGCTATTTTGTTAAATCTCAGACAATCCGACATGTGTATGGACAGTGACTTCATTAGGATTTAAAGCATGGATTTTGCTTTAAAAAAAATTAGCCAAGTCAGATGTAGTACCCAAGTCTGAGTAACATAGAACATCGCCAACAATTTGCTAAGAAAAACTTCTTACAGAAAAATATGTTCCTGACCTGAAACCAGCTCTGATTTTCTGGGCTTTGACATGCAGCAATGACTTGAAGAAACTCCTCTTTCCCAAGACCCACATTCGAATAAGTTCTTGTAAGGTGGGAATTGAGAGAAGTGGAATTAAACTGAGTTAGAGCATACAACTTGGTTATGTTGCTGTTAATGCAATTGCTTACAACAGCATCTATCAGTCTGTATTTTGCTCCAAGTGGAATAGCGCCTGCTGACCGTCTTCTCATCAATGGGCATAACTTGCAGTCTGAACCATTTCCAAATAATATTGCTGCAACACTCTTACATGCACAATTCCCCTAATATAAGTCAAATACCACCCCTGACATTATAAAATATAGTAAGCCTAAAGCCTATAAAATTAACATTATGTGTAAAGGATTAAGTCAAAAACCTGATTTTCCTGAGGTGAAACTGAAAGAAGTTGATCTGCCTGCTGAAAGTTTGGCATGGTCGTACTTGAACAAACGGATAATAAAAACTTTTTACGAGTTCTGACTTCATTATGGTGCGACCTTAGAAGCGTATGTTTGATATTGGTAGGAACTACTGAGGCTAATTCCAATGTCACCATTACAAAATATGAATAATTTTGCTTTTGTTAACAAATAATGAATGATTTCGACTTTAAAAGCAATGTATTATATTTGACAGTTGCATTAAACCAAGGAAGAAGGTATAGACAGGGAATATTTAGGTTTCTTCCTCATAGCCTCTGCAGCATGGTTTATTACAACATGAATCATACTGTTTTTTTGGAAATATTATTATGGTACAAAACAACAGCTGACAATCCTTAATTGTAGAAATTTTGTTAATTTGTTTTAAGGAACTTCATCTGACTTTGATTCGAAGTTTCTTATTATCACTAATCACTTTCTTCATCAATTCTTTTGTTTGCTTTATTCTTGTTGATCCAAAATGGTTTTAATTTATTGAATATCTTAATCAAAATTCTTGTCTAGGAATCTTAAAGGACCAATGGAGATAGCTTGGTCCAATCTTTCTGTTGTACTTAATTGCTTAAAATAAGGTTTTTATGTTTATGAAATTCCATTTCTTATTCTTTGATTACTATATGTTTCAATCTTAGATGTCTCATGTGCTCCTATTGATTTAAAATAAGCATCATTTTAGCACGTTGCACACAAGTTACAAAGTTTTTTGCTTAATATTCTAACACCCTTGATAAAAACTTGTTCTTAACTATAGTAATTAATGATTCCATTCAAGGTTTACCTCACATATTATCAACAACGTAGTAAAGTCGCATATGGTACACGAGACCTTGGGTATCAAATTTTATCTACATCACTATCCACTCCAACAACGAATTGGTACTTATTTTTTTTTATGAATTGAATAGATACTTTATTTGGAACGAAGCACCAACTTTAAAACCATAGTTATTAAATTGGATTTAGTAATGAAAAAAAACAATAATTTGTTACCCTTGGATTACTTTTTTCTAGGAAATTAGTTCACTTTTTCCTAGGAAATTAGTTTTCTCTCACTATGCTATTCGAGATCTTCCACTAAACTACTAAATATTTACTGTAGTATGGACCTCAAAAGGAAGGATCTTTGAAGAAACAAGGACAATACTCAAACTTAAGCTTGAAATATTTTGGCTATTTTTTTTAGAAATTCAAGCTAGAGTGGTTATGAAGATAGGCATACTTAGCTTTTCAATTCAATATGAAATTCAGTGTTTTCTAAAAATATTTTTAAGGTCAAAGAAAACAGCCTTTTTGGAGATTGTATTGCATAAGTGGCCACAGAAAATACACAGAATTACGCATATAAGAATTTTATAAGGGTATAAAGAGAAGGATAACATTTGTTCGTCTGTTCATTGATATCTTACTTTCAAAAATGTCAATACAAACGACTCGAAAAAGAAAACTGTTACAAAGGTTACATTTGGAACGATGTCTTGGTTGACATTGACAAATGACAAGCAAATCACTAGCAAGATGAAAGTTAAAAGACATAAGTTTGAACTATTCTCAGACAACAATGTGCCTTGTCCATAACAAGAATTTATTCCAACAAAAACTATCAAAACCAAATAAATGACTAAAAAAAAAAAGAAAAGGCCCAAAATTTTATCTTTGTTCAGGAGGGGTGGTAAGTTTCATCTTACGTCCAATGTACT